TTGGGCTGATCAGTTTTAACCACGTACCACAGAATTACTTGAAAACTTAACAAAGTACGGTACATGTACCGAAAACTTATTCATAGGTAGCATTCAGAGTAAAACCTTTTTATCCCTAAAAAGTTCACTAAAGTTTAATTCTATGGCAAAGTAATTTTGTTGTTGACATGAAGATAAATTTGTTTCCATTTCTTTCCCATTAACTCTTAAATGCCAGAAGCTTGTTATTACCAAGTAATAAACTTCAGATTACCATCGAAGATAATGCGAATATCTAATCCTGTTCGTAGTTTTTCCCATGGTTTACATTTTTAGTGTTTCCACATTTTTGCAATTTGTTCCTTGATTCTTGCTGAGGTACAACAGGTACAGGTAAATAAGGGAATGTATTCCAACAGCGTATGCCCAGCACGAGGTTATTCGGGAACAACTACGCGTGCGTGTGAGTATGTCCTATGAGCGCAGCCATACCCCGACCATGCATGCGCTTTGTTCCCGAAAGACCATCGCTTTTGTAAAAAGTAACTTAAAATTTGTTGTAAAAGATGCTTATCCTGTGTGCTATTTTTCCTCATTATTTGTCCGGGGTACTTTTTGAGAAGAAAGAAGATTGTCGAAGGCCAAGCATCAGGCTATACATTTTTCCATCTTTTAATTATGCGGTGTATTGTTACACTAACGGTACACCGTATGCCTACTTTGTATGCGCTTGGGATTTTGTGTGTGTGTGATAAGAGTCAAACAATTAAGTACCAAGTAATTTACCACAACACATACATGTACCAGGCTTCTTCAGCTAACCAGGTGCCCGTTCTCATTTCTGTTGCAGCTCATGATTATTTAAATGTTTCCTTGCATGGGCGTCGCCATTTTTGTTGGGGAGGGGGCCCGAGTGCGGGGGGGGGTTTCCGAGGAAGCATTTATCACCTTCAAACTGATAAACGATAAGATGGCGGTGAGAGACTTTTTCTGCACCCCAGAGCACGTCTTACGTTCGAAAATGATTAAGTTCAAATTTAACCCATCTCTCTGTGGAACGTCCCGGCTCGTTTAACCAGTTGTCATCGAATAATTTGTCGGGTATAAAAACTGAAGCTGCTTTTGGTTATCTATCCCTAGAATACAAGAATAGTGCCGTGGTAGATGTTACTTCTTTAATTAAACACCGCTGGTCGATTGCCTCTATACTTAAAAGGATCCAAACAAAGACCACGAGGTCAGTATGCACTTCGTGATCGAAATTAGGCTTGCACAAGTTTAGTGAGTGTGATGCTTGCTTTAACGGATTATTAATTTTACAGATTTCAGATTGCATAGTACTAATTTGATCCATTAATTTAATATTAAGTAGGCCTAGCTATGTACGCTTTGATTTTATGATTATCGTTTAACTTGTTCTACTTGGTATATAATTATTTTGCATGTCCTTTAAATCGTGTTAGGTGCACTAATAGGGGTTTTAAGACACTGTAAAGGAGACTACGAGATGGATTACTTACGCATTCTCAACGCAGAATTTGTTGCTCTGCTCCTTGGAAATATTGCTCATAAAGTTTGATAATTTTCTGTTATATGTTGATATGTCGAATGCGTTTGAATGTCGTTACCTCGGATTACCTCAGATTGCGTTCGGAGCGTGCGACTCCCTATAAACGTTTTCCCGGCCGAATTCATCATCTTGGCACACGAATAAGCGACAGTTCCATTCAAATTAGCACGAAATAGATTGACGATCTAGATCACCATTCAAAGAGCAAAACTGATCATTCGGTTTCATTCTAAGAGCATGCAATTACACAATCTTATTATTCCAAAAGTGAAGGGTCAGCATTCAATTTGGAAATACACGCTAAAAGCATTCACATTCGCGCGGACACTCCCACGGTATGTGTTTTGGCGTTCAATTTCGTGAATTGGCAAACATTTATGCGATTCGTGTAATGTCATTCATTAAGCGTTACATCTTCTAATTCTTTTTTCTTTGTGACTTATTTATGCAAAAGATTTCCTGAAAGGAAACGTCCGGTTCACGGGTAGAGATCTCTATAAAATAACGATTGATTAATGTTTATTTGCTAATTTGCTCATTCGTTTTTTGTTTGCATTGTTATGAAAAGAATGAATAACGGCGAAGTAAAACGATATCACACAAATGGATCAATTGGGGAAATGTCTAAAAAGGAGGATACAACCAGAATGAAACATGAAAGCAAAGGCATTACTTTAAAAATGTGACAGAAATAGAAGATAAGCCATTGTGTTAAGAGAATCTTAGTATACATGCACATTCACACAAAGAAGAGAGAGTGTGTTTCTTGTGTATAAAATAAATTACAAATCAGCAAACTGCATCTAAAGGATTTTTCCTTCAGCATCCGTGATGAAGGTCCAGGGAGAGTTTCATTTCTACATTTTGATTAAACGGGCAATCGGTAGAGCAAAAATTGCACTGTATTTTTGATGTGTAATTTTTCTGAGATGTATATGTAAAAAAAAACCACTTTCAGGTCAATGCGTGGGATACACTTCTTGCGTGTTTTCTATTTGTTATATCCCTTGTGTTCTATACGCATCTTATAATTTGCCGAATTCGAAGGCTTTACCGCATGAAAAAGAAACACGGGAGCGACCAGCTGAAAAAAATCGTTGGAAAACGAATGAACAGTAATGAATTTGACTGAAAATGACAAATTCGATCGGGAACCTATATTAAATTTTTAAAAAATTACTGTTTAGTCAGCGGGACACTTATGCACGGTGGGTTACCGTTTTAAGATATAGGGATATGAAAAAACTACAACTCAAATATGTCTTATTCGTCAAAATGCATCCTGGGGAATGCGAAACGGGATAAGTGGGACACTGACAAAACGATGTCGCGTTTGTTTAATTCGCCTTTAATTAAAGGAAGATACCCCAAAAATAGCAGTAACCTAAGCGCTCATTTCTGCAATATAGCCGCCCACCTCTATCCAAAATAGGCCCGCAATTTTGGGCTTTTTGTGAAAGAAATACCCCAAACTGGAAACTATCAGCCCCAAATTCGGGATTAAAAGAAGCATTTTTATTATCCGTCCTGAATATGGTCTGTCTTATTGTAAAAATCCCGTGGGATCACAAAATATTAATGAGCTTGCACGCAGAAATACAACGATTTGGTGGAATGCACCCTTTGGCACTCCATAGAGTCTGAAAGTAAAAGGTCACCCAGCAGCGAGCTTCCGGAACCCTCGTTCGGTCTGCAAATGGGGAAGTAGGCCGTCCTATCACGTTCGATAATTTTTGGAAAAATAATTCCGAACTGAAACCATCCCATGAAACACTCGTGGTGTTATTTTACCTTTGTCTTCTTCAAGTAATATTTAGGAAAAGTCACCTGGAGATGGGTAAAAAACAAATTGTATTAACGATCTTTCACGTCCGGCAACACCTTAGTTCTCCTTGTTTGATTTATGCACGTTTGTTTTCACTCCCCGTGCTTTCTTGAAAACGAGATTGTACAACGTTGCAAAGATTTACCTGCCTGCCGTCGATGGGTTCCAGATTCCGTTGATTTGACATCACGCAGTCTCTGTCAGCAAAGGTTAGATAAAAAATTTGAATCTTTCGTAAAAGTAGAATAAATGTTTAAGTTTATTACCTTATAAATTATAAAAATACATAAAATGTTTTGATCTGTTTTTAGTTCGGCTTTTACTAACAGACTACCTTAAATATTTCAAACCGTAAATGTTCATCTGCGTACGAGACTGCCGCATTGCACTGTTCTTCAGTTAGTTTAGATTTTCGGAAGTGATGGGTCAATTTTAGGCAGGATATTTCTTTTTTAGGTCTGATGACTTTTCAATTTCTATAAATTGATATAATAGCAAATATTTTTCAAAGCCTCCTTTCCGAGTTGGATTCTCAAGTTTAATCAATAAAAAGTCATGGGTGGCTCTGCCTTGTATTTACATTGCGTGACCAAATCGTGTTTGTGAATTTCGATTTTAAATCTTTATGGTGTTCTTTAAAAACGGATAAGTTTTTAATTTGTAGTTCTGAAAAGTTTTTATGTTCCCTAGTCATCGGAATACCAGAGTTCAGACTCGGTAAAACTGTCGTGTTCAAGTTGCGGCGGTGCACTAATTCGCACGGATCAGTGTACTCGGTGTACCATACGAGTTGACTTGCTCCGCATATAAGAAGACAAGGCTAAGGCAAATTTATCTTGAAACCTGTCATCCTATCATTATTCAGCACCTATTTATCCCTAATACGGCTGGTCAGTTCTAAATTGATCGCCTTTTCCTGCATAAGCGACCTGTGGCGTTAGGTGGTTTTTGCTACGCGCTAGTACATGTACAACTATGGCTGCGGCAACGTAAGCAATATTCTTAGGTACACGGTTTTAACAATGAATTTTGTTTTCCCTTTTGGCGTTTTTAGCGGCGGTTGCACTACTTTTGTATGCTCTCCGTCCCAAGAGGAAAGGTAAGACTAAAGAAAGTTTTGAACCACTTCTGTGGTAATCCAAACACTGGAATTTTTTCAGGCCCTTCAGTCACGTGTCCCTTGGAAAAAGATCCTACACTCTCCCTTCTAAAACGACTTGGCGTTTCACTGAGGTGTTCGGACACTCTTCAACGGGCTACTGCTTGTTTAGTACTAGGAGAACAATTTCAGGACAAATAATAAGGTTCTTCTTCTTTTAGTTTTTATGAGGTTTTGAACAGTCTATTTGAATTTTGAAACTGTGCTTACGAAGAGCATGGAGGAATAAACCTCAGCTTGAAGGACTTATGGAAGTCTGGTTTCGTATTCAAGAGCGCCCTTGTGCGGTACGATACTCCTTATTTTCTTCGGATATTTTTACGTTGAGGACAATCAAATAACTCGACCTGTGCCGTTAGAGAAATTACATCTGCATACATACCTAGGATGTGCGTGTGGGCCTTTCCAACAAGGGTGACTGCCGTTCATCTAATCGATACTTTGGAACAAGAAACAGTGTAATAGCTGTCTCGACGTATATCGATACTTAAAATCGAAATACACTTATTCGATATTAATTCTGGACCGACGCAACTGCCCAAAAAGTTTCAGTGAGCACTGTACTGTACTGGCGGACGGCATTCGACCAACCAACAGATGCGCTCAAGCTGGGATGTTTGGAGCTACGTACATGTGTAAGTAGGCAGTGGTTCTGGAAGTAACGTACACATGTACATGTACATCATGTTCATGCAGCTCAGCAGCCTTTCCACAGGTTCTACTAAGCAATGACTTTCAAGATTCGCTAGTTCAAATTCGAGCACTACATACATAAATCGAAGCTGGTCTCAATTGTAAGTTATGATCTTTTTTTGATAGACGACCATGACGACAGAGGAAGTCTCTGCTGTAGTTGGGGCGTAACTTCTGTAGTCGGCAGTAAATGGTACGGGACAGGCTGTAGGCCCTAATGTTAGTCTCGACGCCCGGAACTGTGGGGTCCGACATCTGTCCCGCTCCCACTGGGGTCCGATGTCCGCCCCGCAAATGGGACGTCGGACCCCACACCACAGTTCTGGGGCTATACAAAATGTAGTTTGTGTTCCTTCCTCCATAGTCAGCTTGACTATGGCTTTGTTATACCCCAACTATAGCATCAGTGTAGTCCGAGTAACTTGGACCCTACAAACCGGCTTTTTAAAAAACATTTAGACATGGTCAAGTGATAGTAGGGTTCAAGTATCTTCCATACAGTATATACTTTGCTTCCATTAATTCATTTCATTCAAAATGGCTCGTACCCTGAGTCAAAGTCCTCCAAATTCACCTCTAAAACTGTCCTTAAAATGTCTAATGTGCCTGTCTATGGATTAAGTGATAACTGGAGATTACAACAATGATAATATGGTTTACTTACATATGGGAAGAAAAGAGAAATTTCCCCTTCAAATCAGGAATGTTCTTGTCGACGAGCTCTTAGTCTTACAGACCATATTTCCTCAAATAGCAATTTCAACTATATGTTGATGTCCTGTTGATGACGTCATGGAATGCTGGGCTTAGCAGACCATTCACAGAAAGCATGCTGTGTTGGCACATGCATACCAATGAGTGGTGGCTATGACCATATTGAAACTGTATACTGAACATTACATCTCAGCCACTTCCCCTGCCAGGTTCAATTTCTAAAGTTACATCAATAGATGGACCATTTTGAACTTTTTCCCCTCCAAAAAATCTTAGTAATACCCTTTAAAATTGTTTTAAAGAGAGAGCTTACCCCGTACATGGATCCCCATTTTTTTTTTTTCAATTTTTTTTTAGTTTCATGCATACGATTTCAGTACGTCTTCCCTTTACATGTACTGGTGTGTCGCAAACTTGTATTCGTGTTACGTCACACATGTAGCTTAACTGTGTACACAACTACGTACATGTATGTACATGTATGTACATGTACAGTGTACATACATGTACATGCACAGACATGTACATGTATTATTCTTCACAGTTTTGCATTCATTGGGAGTCTTCGTGAAAAAAATATTTAAAAATTCATGCCAGAGTGATCTTCATGATTTAAAATCCACGCCTAGCCTGGTTCTTTGAATTGGTTGACTTTGAAGGACCTTAGGTAGGGTTGAGGCCAGGAATTAACATTTCCTTCACATGGAAAGATCTACCCTTAAAACTCCTTGTTGATTGGCTATTACTACAAGTACAGAGTCTGAAACTTGCAGGTGCACTGCATGTACATGTATACATGTACATCATCACATGCATCATGTATCTTGAATATGGTTTCTGGTCAATTAAGTTTGGGTTTTGTATAAGTACAAGGGGTGAAAGTCAACTTATGACATCATACACATTTGTTTCCTTTGCAGTTTTCAAGGCCAAGTTCCATGCTCTGTTGTTTCATGGTTCTTTCAACAACATCACTCAGCATACCGGTACGTGTACATAATTCAAATTGGACCTTAGCTGTTGCAAAGAAATGTTCCTTCACATAGTTTTTATCCCATGTAAATGGTGCAAGACCTCATCTGGCCTCTTGTGTAGTGCATGTACCGGTACTATGCACATCATACGTACTAGTACCATCAGCAGGCCTGATGGAAAGGGAGAGGTGCTGGGACCCTCAGGGCAGGCAATGGATCTCCTCCCATTGGCAAAAACCATGAGCACTGTTCTTGTGATGATGTGCCCCCTAAAGCTGGTGATGGTGCTGACCATCTGGCATCACATGCTTTGAATTCCCTTGCCAACCCTCCTGATCCTAACCCATCAGTACAAGTGCTGCTTAGTCTACAACAATGCATATGTACATGTAGTGGTCCTTTTTGCCAACCAACATGTACATGTACATACTAGTACCGTACATGTACTTCACATGATCAAGTGATCCTTTTCTAATCTCATTAGTCCTGTTGGGATTGAGTCAGCATCCTGAGTATTTGCGTCTTACATGTACGCGTACAGAGAAGAGGATATTAAGTATTACATGCACTGATAAGCAGGTTATTTTTTCACTATGCTCTACTTATCTTCATTTTTTGCATGCACACATTTCTGCACTTTTTTGCAAAGCTTTTTAGAGTTAAAAATAATTTTGATGACAATGCTCAAGCATGGCCTATTCCGAGGCTAGTGTTTTAGTCACTTTCCAAAGTGTCATTCAGTGACTTTTTGTCATTGAACATGTTGAATGTAACTCATCAGGGTTTGTGTACATACGTACTTGAAACATGCACTTTTTGTTAAAACAGGTACGCATATGTACACTACACGTACTTGTTTGTGTATGTTAATTTTACGATTTATCTTTGATAAGAGGGTTTAATTCAACAGTCAACTGTGGGATAACTTAGGTACAATGTACTCTAGTTTCATGTGGCTATATACAAACACATTTTTAGGACAATTACAGTGCAGCGTATTGTTCATCAGTGTACATACATGTATATAAATCTTTTGAAACATTCAGGATTGGTTTTAATTGAAAGTGCACTGTCTCTTTTGGTATAAATTCTGTGGAGGGCCTCTTACATTGTAATCTTGTATGCTTAGGACAACACATTACCGGTGTCTGAGCCACTGCTAGAATTTTTTCAACCGCTAAATGTCAAACTGATACATGTAGCTGGGGGTGTGTGCAATCACGATTACTTTCAGATGATCTGTTAACTTCAAATATTTACTTACATGTGTTGGTACCATGATGTCATTTCCTCTCGACCAATAAGGAGAGAGTGCAGAAGTGTTCTTGAATGACAATAACCAAGTGGGCGGTGTTTGTTGATAATGCATGCGTGCATGTATTGTACCTGTACATCTATCTCCTAATTATGCTTGGCACAAATACATAGATGTTCACAGACAAATCATGAAAATTAGCACCTCAAGGAGTAACTGTCATACATGTACATCATACACCGCTACGTGTCACACTCACAGATCTGGTTAGTGGTCAGCAAGGGTGTAACCTGGCTTCAACTGAATGGGTTCCATGGATTTTTTTTTAAAGTTGACTTTCATAAATAACTTTAGTCTTTGTTTTTTCCTATCCAATACAGATACTTGACCTGACTGCATTCACGAGCAAACTACGGTATCAACCAGTGATGATCCTTGAGGGATAAATTAATAATTTGGTATTTTCGTAAGCTGTGTCAGACCACCATGGCACTTGTTGCAGGTAGGATTGAAACATTTCATCCTTTAATTTAAAAGATGAATTTTGGTTGTTGTGTCAGTATACATGTACCAGTATTAGTTTCATTTTCCATTGTATTTGCTTATGGATTGATACATGTATCATACATGCACGTAGATGTACCATACATGTACGTAGATGTACCATACATGTACGTAGATGTACCATACATGTACATGTACGTAGATGTACCATACATGTACATGTACGTAGATGTACCATACATGTACCTAGATGTACCATGCACGTACCTAGATGTACCATACATGTACGTAGATGTACCATACATGTACGTAGATGTACCATACACGTACCTAGATGTACCATACATGTACGTAGATGTACCATACATGTACGTAGATGTACCATACATGTACGTAGATGTACCATACATGCACCTAGATGTACCATACATGTACGTAGATGTACCATACATGTATCTAGATGTACCATACATGTACGTAGATGTACCATACATGTACGTAGATGTACCATACATGTACGTAGATGTACCATACATGTACGTAGATGTACCATACATGTACGTAGATGTACCATACATGTACGTAGATGTACCATACATGTACGTAGATGTACCATACAAGTACGTAGATGTACCATACATGTACGTAGATGTACCATACATGTACGTAGATGTACCATACATGTACGTATACATGTATGTACCAGTGTATTTGAAGGTGTTCTTCAATTTTGGTTTTGTTGTAGCATGAACATACGTGTTGTAATGTACATGTATGCAAGACTTTTCTAATAATCTTCATAAAGTTAAATGTACATCTCACATACATGTACATGTATGTGTACATGTAATGCATGCATGCAAGTTTTGACAAGGACAAGTTGTATATATATAACATGTTTATCAGTAAACAAAACAGGAGTGACAGGACTAGTTGTCAATACAATTTTTGACTTAAGGTCTTTTTTTGCACAATTTACGGTGTGCATGTACAGGCTTACCAGTACATGCACAGTGTACTGCTATATCTATGTACATGTATAACTTGTTGTGTGTACCAGTAGGTACTCATGAACAGTTTGATGTTTAATCCTCACACCCTCAGTTTTACATTTGGATTAACTCTACATGTTTGTCTAATCAGATTAGCTTTAGCAGTAATTCTGATGGATTGTAGAGTCCTGAGCACCCAGGGGCTTGGTGTAGGTGTATGGATTGTAGAGTCCTGAGCACCCAGGGGCTTGGTGTAGGTGTATGGATTGTAGAGTCCTGAGCACCCAGGGGCTTGGTGTACGTGTAGTTTACCTTATCCAGAGAAATCTGTGTGAAAGTTAGGTCACTTAATACAGACAAAAAAAAAATCTGGTCTTTCCTGTAAAATGCCAAAATTTACATCTACATGTAGTTTTTACTGTAATTATAAGTATGTGTGCTTACATGTAGATAAACTTTTGGCAGGTTTGCACACATTTCTTGGATTCTGGTGAGGATTTTGAATCATTTATTGTAAATGTTATAAGACATTCTTGCATTGTGGGTGTGTACATGTAAGTAGTATGTACATGTACGTGTATAGCATTCCTGAAGAAAGTTTAGCAATGGACTCTGCAATCTTAGCAATCAAAAAAAAAATAATTCCACCCATTCTAATCAAAACAAGGGGTCTGTGCTGTTTGGATTGATGAACTCCATGTCAACATCTGTCATGTCAACATCTGTCATGTCTGTTTATTTTATGGGAGGCTTCTGTAAGTTCATATGTATTTACTGTATGAAATCCAAAGTTCAAGTCTGGACTTTTTCAAAGTGCAAAGGCTTTTTTTCATGTTGAACTATTTTTTCCTTCAACTAATAAAGGTACATTTGTACATGTACCACAAACACTTCACATGTACTTAATGTTCATCAAGATGTACCGGTACTTACAATGCCTGTGTTAAAAAGTGGAAAACTTGGAATTCATTTTGTTAACTTTGGTGCTGATACCTTAATACTTCATACTTAGAATACCTTCATAATTCTACAAATCGTTACCAATCTCCTATTACATGTTCCTTTATTCTCATGTCCAATTACAAAATTGTAAGAAAATTATTTTCTTATATTTGGGGGCATTTTAACCCCAACAGCCACGTATATTGTTTGGCTTACAGTACTCAGTACTGCAAAATACTAGTAGCAGTCTGAGCCTGAAGGACCTAGTGCTACAAATGAGTACTTGTGGCTAGGGTACCCTCCATTGTTACTGGTACAGAGAACAATAAAATCATGCCTTCATAGTGCCAGACTATTGTATGGTACACTGTCTTATCTATTTGTGTTTTATGGCTTCAAAGAACAAAAAGGTCATGTGCTCATAAGCGACAGTGCTGTATGCTACATTTTACTACCAAGTAGTACTTTGTAGTATTCAGGGCTGTTAGGGTTAAAGGAGTTAAATGTGCACTTAAAAAAATTGGAAAATCAAGCAAAACTAAATTACATGTATGTTCTTTGAAACCTTGTGGCGCGTACATGTACATAAACTTGAAATTTATAACAGGAATATTGAGAGCTTGGTGAAGTTTCAAATTTTGTGAAATTTGAGGTACAAATATTGATCTAGCAAGGCACCAGAGGTGACAAAAATCAAAGCATGCCCTGTTGGGGGCTGTGTCACGTAAGGGTACATGTACAGTGTACATGTACAGTACATGTGTACAGTACATGTGTACAGTACATGTGTACAGTACATGTGTACAGTACATGTGTACAGTACATGTGTACAGTACATGTGTACAGTACATGTGTACAGTACATGTGTACAGTACATGTGTACAGTACATGTGCATGTATGACCTTTAAAAAATGCGGTGTTGAATAGTTCTTTTTTCACATTATACAGCGTAACAGTGAAATGTTTGGTATGTCTGTGGAATTTTAATTAGTTTAACTTTGAGTCGCCTATTTAAAAAACTAATTTTAGTTTTAATATCATGTATACATATTCCCCCATCTAGATTGGCTAGCCATGGTAGGAATGCCTGTAACTCTGAAATGTACATGTATCTCCATGATACTCTGTACCATTCAAAACTTGTCATTTCAGAAACCGCCCAATTCCATGTCACATCAGCCTAATTAATTCTTGTGATAAAAACTTTTGGGGGGACTCTACTGCCAAGTTTTATAATTAATGTGAGAATACACAGAGTTGAGCAACAATGCCAGTGACTTAGTGATGGAGAGCTTCACTAGGGCGATGGGTATTGATGGCAATGGTGATGTCATAAATCTGGCATGCAACGTATTCTTTGGATAATCTGATTTCCTTGTTGTTCACTGCTCACTCACACCTTTGAAAATTAAAAAACACTGTACAAAGTCTGGTAAAGATTGGAATTTTCTCATTTTATGTCAAAGTCCAAGTTGCATGCCATGTACATGTACGGGCCAATTAGAACAAGGCTACTGGCAGAATATCATTTTGAACTTTTGCTGGCAACGGCCAAGTATCCACAGCCACTATTACATTACATGTACTTAGCGGTATCTTTTCCTAAGTAAATGTATTTGTGGTGCTATTCACATTGTACATGTTACACTTTTAAATTTTGAAATTTGATTAATTGCAGTAATTTTAGCAATATTCTCGCAAGTTTCATTTCCTTGTGAATGAATCGTGTAGCACAAAACTGCAGGTGAAATGTACTGGATGCAAGTGACACTTCCATGTACCACCTGAGAGTCCCCCATAGTTTTAACCATTAGTGTAGACAGAATCATTGAACTCAAACATGCGAAATTCATTGTTCCAAGTGGTGTTGTTAGGATGGGATTGGGAAAATACTTGCATGTAAAAGAAGAACTAGAGGAAAGAGGAATAGATGGATGCCTCATCACTAGACACTACGCACCTACATGTACAAATACCGGTACATACATGCAGTATAAATGTGATTTTGTACATTAATTCTGCCAATTATATATAACAGGTTTTGCCCTTACCCAACGTATATTAATAAGCACTGTATGCTCAGTGCTTGTCCGAGAGCTTAAGCAAAAACCTCACAAGCTTACTCGGGTGGGACTCGAACCCACAACCTCCTGGTTACTAGTGCAGATGTCTTAACCACTCGACCACTGAGCTTGCCGGGGTCGGCTGGCCGGTCCGAGTCAAATGAAGCAGCGGGTACCGCGAACTATTTTCAAGATGTATTAATTGTGCCATATACTGTACATACACATAGTGATACACGTATACGTACAAGTACATCCATGTGCATACTTCAACTAGTTCTGGTACAAAAAAATTTGTTTTTCAAACAGACAAAATTAGTCAGTGTGTTTTACATTTTTGTTACCTGCTTGTAACTTAGCCAGGGATTTGGTTTTACAAATCTTTGTGTGATACGGACTCTTCTAATTTAAAACTAATTATCTTCTTTTTTTCCTTGGTCAGATACCAAACATGCAGTAGAGTTGCTGCACAGCATGCAGAATGAGCTCCAGCGGACGGGAGACATGGAGCTAGACCAGGAGCTGAGTGACATGATAACCATGATGGAGAGTCCCCTCTTCACTCAGCTCTTGACCCTCCAGCAGTCTGTGCGCCAGCTACGAGACCATGTAGAGTCCACTCCCCCAGGACAGCCTGTTGGTGAGTTTGATTTCACCCCTAGTGGGGAGCTCGTGTTACAAGAACTGTCCAAACCTGAACTGGAATCTTCCACTGCTGTCCAACCAGCCCACCCGTATGCCTATGAGAACCAGATCGACTTGGAAGATGAAGCCATCACTGTCCAGTCAGCAACAGCAGAGCAGAGTGCCCCACCTCCTGCCTCTCAGTCCGAGGCTGATGAAGTGGACACATTGCTGGAGTCCATTGCTGAGCTGGCCATGGGTAGGGAGGTCCGGACCATCAAGCTTATGAAGCCAGAGAAGGGAGGCCTAGGATTCAGTGTGGTTGGGCTGAAGAGTGAGAATCATGGAGAGCTGGGTATCTTTGTTCAACAGGTTCAACCCAATGGGGTGGCAGCAGAGTGAGTCAGACTGTAGAATCTCTTTGTAAATGCCAGGTCTAGGTAGGAATAGCTAAAAGCCGCAGCGTGATTTGAAAATAGGCAGAATTAAATTAAAGCAGTCTGAAAAAGTTCTTCCAGACAGGATTTCCTCCCACACCAAGTGGTATAGTAAATCTACCCAGTCTACATGTAGTTCAAATATGTAGTTCAATGTTAATTATGATAATTTGTGGGTATACACGTACTTAAATGTACATTGTAAATGTACATGCGCTTACTGTTTTTGCATGTCTTCCTATATTCTTTGGTTTTCTTCTGTCCTACAATGTTATGTTTGTATATTGACACTCACATACGACTTTAAACCCGTGGCTGTTCATTACGGAAACAAAATACCATTTTGAAAATTTCTCTTAAAATTTTCAGCATTTTTAGCTACATGTCAACATTTTTTGTAGAAATGCTTGGGGTTCACTGCAACCATGCATCTACGTGTAGCCTATTCATCTTCAATAGTCATAGCCCTTGAGCCTTTTCCCTCACCATGGCGGAAACAATATGCCATTTCTTATACATTCACTTACAGCACTTCCACTTGGAGAAAAAATACTGTATTGATAATTTCTATTATCTTCAGGCAAACTTGAATTCTCAATGCTGATTGGTCAATCCATGACAATAAGTAGTGTGACGGTTTGCACAGTTCATATCAAACCGCGTGTAATGAGCTGTTCTATTAAACTTGACACATTACGCCTCTAAAGCAAAATGCGCAGCTGCAAAATTTACTTTAAATTCAAAGGTGGTGAGTTTGCGTGCATAAGGTCCTGATAACGTATTTTACTGCACGTTAAGTTTGTTTGAAGATAAATTCATTATCATGCTTTCGCTCATGGAACACGGAATAATGTAGTGTGTCTGTGTCCCATATGATCATAAAATACATAAATTGTACATACCTGCAGCAGGGTTTCCCCTGCCTATTCGGCTGTGAGGCTGCCCACTTCACTGATTTTAGTGACCACCTCCAGACTTTTTCTGTTGAATTTTACCACTTCACACTTAATATAGACCAAGATGGAAGGAACAAGCAAAATAACTGAGATATTGAAAACAAAGCAGTTTCAAATCATTCAGATTAGGAAACAGGGACGCAGAATATAACATTGATTTATTTTAGAGAGGAAATTTGGATTAAATGTACTGTTAGACTATATAGAATTTATTTGAGGCCTGTGTGAACACACTTGCTTTTGTTTTAGGCTCTAGAATTTTGGCCAAATTTGTTCGACCACCTCAAATACCTCAAGGGAAACCCTGATCTGTAGCATTTGATTGTACATGTACACATACGTGTATGTAAACGTTCAGTGCATGGGTTTTTTATTTAATGGGACGGAGTTCCTTTTACACCATGTATACGGGTACATGTAGGGTAATTACTTACATGTTGTAATGGTACACAGAATAATGTATTACATGTAGCATGTGTACATGCATTTGGGAGGGTGAGATTTTGTTCAAAATTCAGTTGTTTGTGTGCATGACAGTAATGGGGAACTTCAAGAGAGTGATCAGATCCTTGCCATCAATGGACATCTACTGGATGCCAGTGTCTCACATCAACAGGTATCATTCATTGTTATTACATCAGAATGTCCGTGGTGTAAAATAATTGCAAACTACATAATTTTCTTCATCTGAATCAGACAAATTATGGATACTTGTACATTTAGCAGGATACCGTCATCAAAGTTCTTTGAACGTTGTCATGACAAGATAAACCAAATCTGGAATCCTCATACTTCTGGTACATGTACACAGTAGCTACGAGTAGCACACAAAACAACTGGCCAATGATGGTTTGACTGAATAGAGGGATTTCATATTAGCGCCGTTTGCGCATATCCGCATCGAAACTGAAGTTCTCTGTGTTGAACTTCGTCGCACGCAGCCGCGGAGTCCACACAGTACATGGAGTATCCGGTTCGTAAGTGGGACGCCACTTCAGTTTAAACCACGCCCACTGCACAAAATACACGACCATCGCAGGTACGTTAGTGCGCGGTCAATTGTCCTTATTTTTTCTTTTGATTTCACGTGTCGAGTCATCCTGAAAAACTCTTCCATAAAACTTTGCAGCCTGAAAAGTCTGAATTTAACATACCTTTATGTATTTTGTGTCTTGACTCCTTACTTTCAATCGTCTGATCGAATTAAGAATTGAAACTGACACATACAGCCTCGTTTTCAAACGCGGAAGTGCACAGATCGACGCTAAAAGCGTTGTATTGGGATCCCTCTATACATGTATTGTAGTAGTTTCTTGATATCATTTGTATCTAATGATCATGTGCCTCAAGTTGTCTGTTCTGTGTCATGCTGGAAATATGACTCATCATTACCCCTATTGAAAATCATGAAGACTGATTGTTGCCTTTTTACAGTACCTCAGGATGAAGTTATAGCAATGTGCTGGATTAAAAAGTTTGTCTGTTGGTGGTGTTTAGACATTCTGTATACTAACTTGTACATGTATGCACATGTACACTGTACGTGTCGTTCTTCACACAAGCACAAGAAGAAAAAACGTAAAGGCACATCCTTAAATGTGCATGCGCTTTAGTGCCTCAAACTTAATTAATGATCTCCTGCTTCTACATGTACACATCTTTAACCGTATGACCATTGAGCTTGCCACACCCTGCTTACTGCCTAAAAACTGACAAAGATGACAATCAATTCCAGCATTTTGTTGAAGTTTTAAGTATTGATGGTGGTACAGGATTTGGCCTAGGTACATATACATACATTTATGGAGCACATGTACAAGTACATGTACATGTACTTCCTGTATTTCATATAGACTGTGTGTACATGCATGTACATGTATATATACATGTATCACAATTTTTAGGTGGAATTTGAACCCCTATTAAAATATAGGTATGTTTCTAAATATCGGTATGTTTGCAGTTATCTCAGTCGCATGACCATTAAGTGCATCCAGTGGTACTGTATGCCTGACCTAACCTTGCTAACTTCAATTTCAAATGTAACATGCATACATGTACATGTATATATGTGTACATGTACATGTATATGTATGTACATGTATATGTATGTACATGTAGGCCGAAGACTTTAGTCAGTATGTTTTATGACATTTTATACATGGTGATTTAATTTTTCTGTTCGCATAAGCAGTTTTTGCCCTGCAACAACACGTCAACAATGCTAGAACAAAAATGTCTTTACAGTTTGTACCAGTTGTACAATGTACATGTAGTGTTAAAAATGGGTGAAAAAACAGAGATGATCTTGATTGTATGCTGTACATCCAAAGTTGGGAAAAACATTTGACCAGGGTACCTTTTTATTAAGAAATCTGTTTGTGTGAGGGCAGGTGACTGCAGAACCGGTAGGTGCTGAAATTAATATGTGATCATTGTCCTCCATTGATCACTCCAGGCCATAGTGATGCTGCAACATGTCAAGGGTCTAGTGGAGTTGGTTGTAGCAAGGGGTGTGTTCCAGATACCTGTTAATGCCAACGGCAAGATTGGAGCAGCTAATCAGAACAAGAAACCCCAGTCCGGAGAGGAGGTAACTGATCAGTTGCACCCAAAACACTGACACCTTCATGTACATGTAGATATAAAGCTACAATCATGGGTATGGCTTGATAGGTATCAGACACCAGAGCTAAGCAGAATATTTTGCAAACTTACATGGTGAACGTGTTCCAGTCTGGGTGTGCTGCTTATTTGGGTATTTACATTAAAGGATACTTTTCAGTTTGCTTATCTTGTGAACTCCTAAAAGGTGGATCCATGTTTGTAGTAGTGCACCCAGTGCAGTAATGCACTATGAACTGAATTGAATGCAGTCCTACACGTATTTGTAGTTTCACTCTATAGAAATCCTACTTACAGTATTTTGCAAATAACACTTTATGCATAAGCAAGTCTTTCAAATGGCACAATAAAATTGGTTTTCTTCTGGAATCCAAAAACTTTGGCAAAAGAAGTTTTCATGGATTACTGCAAAAAGTGCTTTTACTAAACAGGCTAAATGGACAGTGAATGCAGCCAGTCTTTATGGTATAAATCCTAAGTTTTACATGTCCATTCTGCAGAGTTAAAGAAGTTTGATTTAATAGATAAAAAGGAACGTGAATGTGTTTCTTAGTCTGAAATTGGACTCATCCTAATCTGCAAACCTCTCAGTGCATGTACTGTACATTTAGCATCAGTGATCTCTGTGTATTGTGCCGTTTTCATGATGTACAGGATGTAAATTTAGGCCCATCAACACTCTTCTTTTCCTTCTCATTTTATTTTTTTTGCTTTGTCTTACAACATACGGGTAATTACAAGCAAAAGATGCCTTTAAACATTAAAAATACCTTGTGTCTTGTGTTGGAGCAGGCCGTGCACTCTGGAACTGATGGTGAAGTGCAGCATAGTATCGAACAGATTGACCTGTACAACGATGGGTCTGGGCTGGGCTTTGGCATAGTAGGAGTTCACGATGTGGGCATCATGGTTAAGACCATTCTGCCAGGAGGTACAGCTGATCGGGTGAGTTCATGTCACTTTGCTTACTTGATTGAGACAGTTGGACAATGAACAAATATACAAGAACCGTGCATTGGCCCAGAGAAGTTAAAAGGACATGGTAACACAGAGTTTGGGTATGCTTCAGCCCTTTCTCGCCGAGCGTTTATTGCAACCACAACTTGAGATAACAAATGAAAAATGTTATTGTCACAAACCGGGTCCAAAGTATATAGATTGATCACTTTTATATCCACTCACTGACAACAAAGCCACAAAAAAAGAAACTTTCAGGAACTGGTAGTAATCAATACATCAAAAAAGTAAAAAGAAATTTATTATTATTTACAGTCTTTACAAAATCCTTGATAGACCTTGCGATTTTGGTTTTCAAGAGTTTACCCCAAACTAAAAATATAGTAATCACATCATTACAAATTCATTATATTACTACCCCAACATGGGTACTCATGCATGTCCTATAGCATGTCGTCACTCCACCAGCTGAACGCTCTGGGGATCTCCACCGATTTGATAAGGCAGTGTGGTCGCAAGTCCCCCTTTCTAGGTCCTCCGTTCCCACGACACTATGGTTCTCTTCGGGGTAACGGGGGCAGCCTCTCCCTCAAAGAGGAAGATTCTACGACTGAAACTCCACTAAAGGGAGTCAGTTTTAAGACGAGTGAATAGTCTTAAAGTCTGACTCCCTGGCTTGAAACAACGATCGGTTTCCGTAGACTAACTTCTCAACCAGGGATTTAGCTTTCCAAGAAGTAGATTTCACTTCTTAAGCACTTAAGTTAGGCTAACGCTTTCCAATGAAGAAAATATATGATTTGGGCTATCGCCACAAACTATCCCTGTTTCTCAAATTCTCATAGAGCTATCGCTCAATCGCCGAAATCAAAATGTGCTATCGCACGATGACCGATCAGGAGTCTCCCTATGTCAAGACCTGTCTGCTGCCTCTCCAATTCTTCACTGCGGTTTTAACCCTGTAGAGATCACGCTAATTACTCTAAATGTCATGCAAATTTTGAAATTCCACACGTTTTCAAATTTTTCCTGCGTCAACCATATTTGGTCATATTAGTCAAAAAATTTACATACTCCCCGTGTTACTATACGTAGGAAGGTGGGTCCTGAAATATGCTGAATATTCATTATACATGTACAAAGGTTTTACGCCCTCTTGTGACAGTTATAGATTTACAGATATTGCTATGGGGTCCCAGAATAACCTTGAATCATACACATGTAAAGGCAACAATATACATGTAGCTATTAATAGGTTCAGTACACAGTGCTAACAACATAGCACCACTATCACAAAAGAACTTCTTCACGGGCAAGAGACGCCGGATTTAATAATGCATAAGTAACGGGCTAGAAACGCTGGATTTTGTGATGCATGTGTAACGGGCAAGAGACGCCGAGATTCTGTAACACATAGATAACAGGCAAGAGATGCCAAACTTTTAACTGGTGGCCAGTAACCGAGAGACTGTGTGCGGCAAGTTGCCAGTAAGTTTGCCCCCGCCCCAACCCGCCAAGGTACGGGGGGGGGAGAGGGAGGAGGGGGCCATGGGGGAGAGGCCACCCCACGGCTGGGGCTTTTAGGCCCAAAACAGGTCATGACTTGTGTCAAACAAGTTCCGACATAAGGAACTTGCCCAACTTCCTCCCCCCCATTGCTTTCGAGCCAGCTTCAACATATGCATACCGGGTATATTATACAAAGGCTAGGGCTTGGAAATGGGTGAGGATGGAGGATGGCCTCAGGGCTGTGTTTGAAGAAAGTTATAGCAGCGACTAAGTTCTGGCAGAACAATTTGTTGCCTAGCCGGGAGAGGTGTGAGCCATCCCGCCAGAAGATGCAGTGTTGGCTAGGGTTTATGCTGTCAGAGTGAACTAAGGCATGGGCATTCCCTTTGGAATGGCCTTTGTATAAAAATATGTGTTCACAGTGCCAAAAGTTCCCCTTTTTGGTTTGACGAACCTCTGGTCAGGCAATGGGAGTACGACTCAGTCTATTTTTTCCTCACTGTTTGTTTGGTATTCACGCGGGTGCTGGGCATGACAGTGGGCTTCTTTGGATAAATGTTTGTGACCCAGTGACCGACTTGCTTGAATTGCATTGTTTGTGAATATAATTACATTGATTTTTGAAATACAGTGTTGCCTTTATGGCACCATGAAAAGTAAAAAGACACAACACCAAATATTTATTAACAGTATTATTTATTTTTACAATTCAAGCAGACTGCTCAGCATGTCACGGTGAACGTAAACAATGAAAATTGCAGGTTGAAGGTTTAAACACCATGTTGAAATTGAAGGAAAGTCTGTTAAAGTCACCAACAAGCATGATAAGTAGAAATTTCAAAGTGGCCTTGGTGCCCTTTCAGTTGGCCTTTGTGCCCTTTGGTTTTTGGGAGCATTCAAGGCCAAGTGGCCTTGACCCTCCGAAGCTTAAGGTTGAAGCCTGTATCAGTCGCAAAACACAGGTAATTTTGAGCACAAACATTGGAAATTCCTGAATTATTATAGGTAGTTATTGTGATACCCTTGTATTGACACAGGATGGCCGTCTTCAAAGTGGAGACATCATTCTCCAAATTGGTGAGACTCCCCTTCAGGGCATGACCTCTGACCAGGTTGCCATGGTGCTCAAACAAGCTGGAAGCCACGTCCATTTGACCGTGGCCAGGGGTGCATTTTCTGATCAGGAGTCAAGTGACACCAAGCCAGAACCTATGATACAGATGCAGCAGACATCAGAGGTGCATTCTGAACCTCCATCACTATACTCTAAGGTTTGTATGCTGAAATGGCAGCCTCTAGGCACCACAAACAAGATAACACTTGCCAACCATTCTATGAAAGTGTAGATTGGGACCTATTGTCACTGAAAATCGCAAGTCTTGAATAGTTATTTTTTGTTAGCAATATTGCAGTCCCATAGACATGCATGTACATGTACCTTCCTTGTAATAAATCAATAAGCTTATGTTCCGTCAAACCTGTCTATAGTTTGATAATTTTGGCTGGATGACATCTAGGCCTATCAGAGCATCTGGAAGGTTAAATACTGCACATTGTTAAATCTTTTGGGCAAGGAAATATTAGAATGCTTTTAGTGTAAAGCCAGTTGTTTAAAAATTCCAGTGCTTACAAAATAGCAATCCTTTGACTTGTCAAAAAAAGCTTGACTTAAGGCTGATGTTTTACTTCTTCTGTTGAGTGCTCGAAAATAATTGTTGCTGATTGTCTAATGGCAGATGTAACGAAAGCTTGATAACCAATTTCTTGGTGTATTTCTGTTCCTCAGGATGAGCCAGATGGTGTGAACCTATTTGATGTTGTCTTAGAAAAGGGAGCAGAAGGATTGGGAATAACCATAGCTGGCTATGTGCGTGATCTTGGCACAGGTATTGGCAGTTTTTATGCTGCTTATAGTAAGGAACTGTCAGTTGAAGTTCCAAATACCCATTCTTTTTTTGTTCAGTTTACAGCGGTACATATTTTGAGCAGATGTGCCGTTGAATGTATCACCCTAATCACATATCCATCACAAGTCCATCACAAATCATACAAACTACATGTACTGGAAGGAATTGTTTCAAAGATATGTCATTTGTCATTGTTAATTCCCTATTATAGTGACTAGACTTGTGATTGACTTGACTACAATTCTAGTGGTAATGCTTATTACATTTTACTGTTTTTATCGACACTAAATAACCCCTTCTCCATTTATAAGTGAGTGTGTTCTCTTCGTGATGCAATCACAAAAAGTTGTGTTTATGAGTTACAATATTCATACAAAATTGCATTCATGTTGAATGCATTTAACACCCATTTTTTTGACTTCTAAATGAACCTGCAGTTTATTGGAGCACCCAAAAAGGAAATATTTGTCAACAGGAGAAGGATGTTGGCAGAATGAGTAACTGTCACCATAAGGCTGAGTGGCTCATTTGGAAGGGAATTTGTTTGGTCTTACAGTTGTAGCCCTGTGTCCACTTGTCAGTCCATTTGTTAAAAAAATTATGAAACCGGTAAAAGTGCGATTATGATATCCAATTAACTACAACAGGGCAAGTGTCTGGAATCTTTGTAAAGAAAATTGCAGAGGGAAGTGCAGCTGATCTTAATGGCCAAGTGCAAGTCAACGATCAAATCATTGAGGTAAAGAAATATTTCATCATAAATTTTCTGATAATGAAAGGATAGCAATGGGTTAATGTTGACTTCAGAATTTCTAGAATTTAGTTTGGTTTCGGCCAGATGTAAAAAGTCCTTTTGGAATTGAGTTCAGATTTCAGTGGCAAAAAGCATTGAAAGATGCGGTCCCTGTCTACAGTGTGATTATTTACCTCTTAGGAAGTTGATTTTTGGGGATCAGTGCTTTGACAGATTACGATTCCAATTTTAAATTCCAAGTTTGTAAATATGGTTATTTGATGTAGCCTTCAAGTTGTTTCTTGGTCCTGCTTCTGGTCCTGTTGTAGTGTTTTTGTACCTGTCGTCAACAGTTTTAAATACATACCAGTCTCTTACAGTCTTTCATTATTATCCCTGCCCAAGAAGAAGTTCGAGATGTTTGTTAAGTTTGCTGCAGAAACTCAGTGCATTCACTATGTCTACTATAAAAGACAAAAAACGTCAAATCTTAAGAATACTAATAACGGTAATAATATCAAGCATTTATAAGGCACACCGTATCTCACAGTGTCTTTAACTCAAAGGTGCACACATGTACTTTTATATTTTATTCCTGCACATTGGGCTCACAAGATCTCAACAGTCCTGAGACCATCTCAGCTCCTTCGGGAGTATATTAGCCTGCTGCCATATCAGGCACAATCAGCTAAATTTAATAACCATATCTGTCCGCAAAGGTACCCATCTACTCCTGGGTGGAGAGAGGCGCACATACTGGTAGGGTAAAGTGACTTGCCTGAGGTTATAATTTGCTGCCTCCAGCTGGATTCGAACCCCTACCCCAGTTTGGAAGCGGCAAACCATAACCACTAGGCCGCATGCCCTCTGACTTTGAAGTCTTTCTCCATGTACACTGTAGATTTGTTTGTTATTGATTGCTTGGTCAGGTGGATGGACAGAGCCTGGAAGGTTTCACCAATATTGAAGCTGTGGACTTACTTAGAAACACCGGGAGTATTGTTCATATCAAGCTGGCCAGGCACCCTCCTGGTACTCTGGATATTTCAAACGTCAGCATGGACCGTAAGTTCCCAATGAAGCATTGGTTTTTGAAAAGGATTAAGTTACAAAAAGGTTGCTTTGCCTTAACAGGTTGGAGTTTACGAGAAAAGAATGAGTTTAACCTTAAAGAGTTAAACCCTCATCACACTCAAACACGATCCTACTACGTCCTAAAAAAATCAGACGAGCGTGGCCAATTGTGGTGAGATCTTGTAAATCATAGTGAGATATCCGTGGGAACTAATAACAATGTGTTAGGTTATGCCAAAGTTTGAGCATGCTCAAAATACACGTAGCAGGGTCATCTGGATTCAAATCACAAGAGACAGAATATGGACAACTTAGTAAAGATGACTTACACATAGTCTTAATGTACCAGCATCATCGTAGGATCTTTATGGATGTGGCACAAGCTCAGCTCAATCAGGAAGAGTTTTATGCCATTTCCACCAGATACATGTAACTGATCGGATGCACTGTTTCAGCCTATATGGATAGGAAATGCTTGGACACTTGACGGCAGCTTGATATAAGCATACCGCACAAGTTATAAATGCCACAACAGCGTGTTATTGTGAGCTCTGAAGCTTTTCATGGTGAAAAACCGTTTTCCCTGCTTTCAGATTCTGTTAAGTTGTTTTAACTTCCAGTTGGGAAAAGTTACCAGGATCAAAAGCGCTGTTAAATTACTGCCATTGACAGGGGGACAGAAAAAACAGTGAAGGATGACACTGGTTCATTTCTTCGTGACTGGACTTCTGGTGTTCATAGAGGCTTAAAGTGGTCATGAAAAAATGGAAAAGCCAGCTTTATCATTTCTATTTGATAAACCACAGCAGCTCTATCAGTTATCGGTGAGATGTTGTCGCTGTGTGCCCTGGAAAAAAAAAATTGAAGAAATGCTCAATTTAGAGTTAGGGCAAAAACCCCAGACAGATGTTTTAAGAGAACATGTGGAATCAGGTAGGGGACGGGAAACCCAATTGAGATCGTTACTTACCACAGTGAGTTCAACACTCCATTCAGGATCCTCCTGTGGTGACTTATCTCATATGGATTATTTTACCCACCTGTCTGAGAGCAAAGAGAAAGATATACATTCAACTCCCTTTCCAGATCCTAGCATTGCTGCTGCATCAGTTGCGGAGGGCCCCGTTGAACCGCAGCATATTGATAATGAGGAAGAAGCCCCTCCCATAGCTCCACCGGCCTATCCACCTCCTGCTGGTGTAATACTCATGGACTCTCAGAAAGCTGAAACTCCAAAAGGCCCTTTTGGTAAGTTTAAAAGTATGCTGATAAAAGTTTGTTGGTGTGCTCATGTTAGAAATTTGAAACTCACACACATACAGTACACTTACAAGTACATGTACATGGCTCTATACATTTGTGAAGTGCAGGATTGTCCTATCTACACTTGTCACTGACATTGTAGTTGAGTCCAGATCCAAGTGTCAGCAAAAACGATAGAAGACTAAAGGTTTTCATGTTATGTAACGTGACTGGCAAAGGCATTTCTAGGGTGTATCATGTCTGTGGAGGCGCGTGCAGTTTTGAATCTAGGTATTTCTATTGGCAATGTCATGTACGCAAGAATGTTGAGAGATTTCTAAGGTACGCATGTTGCCTCATACATTTGTATGTAATTGAATGCTGACAGTCAAAAATTATGTGACTGAAAATCCTCTAGAGACAGTGATAGACATGATTTGCCCATGTTAGCAAACCTTGAAAATACGACTCGTGGCCTACCCCCAGAGTTCTTCAGGAATTGACTTGGTATTCCATCCTGCTTATTTTGAGGTGTCAGTGCCATTGAATTGATTTAAACCCACTCCAGCATAAAAAGTATTGTAGCCCATGCTTCTGAATCTGCAATATACAGTTATAGCATGATCCAATTCAGACCACATACTTTTTGCCGTTCTTGCCCTGCACAAACACAGTAAGAAAACACAAGGTAATTTTGGTTGCATGTTCACTGCAGAAGGCAAGCTTGATCCGGAGGTAGAGGCTTCGCTGGTTGATTTCTGGCAAGGCATTCTGGGAATGGAGGTCACAATTGTGGTGAGTGTAATTCATCAAGCTGTGAATACAGAAAGAATGACACCAAGACTATGTTGGCATCTTGTCTGTCCACAGAGATATGATTTATTCCGAAGTCAGCTTTGTTGTATGTCTGCAAAGTTTGCATTTATAGGTTGATGAACGGTTAGCATGATGGGAATCTCAAGTTGTAATGAATCTAAGCACAAAATGTTCCAGCCACATACCTTATTTTAAGCGAATGATTTATGTATAATTGAAGTAAAATTTCCAGAATTTAGGAATTTGGCAAAGTTTTTTATACTGCAACATATGTGCCATCTGTATTTGCTGTCGTTGTAATTGCATGAAAACATTAAGATTTTATTCCCAATTCTCTGTAGAAGGTTTGAATGGCTGCCATCTTGCGGACCAGAGCTCTTGTTCCACAGAATAGGCACAAAGGAGGCTTCCCTGTGGAACAAAAGAACTGCCCTGCAACATGGCTACCATGCAAAGCAAAGCGTCTGTAGACTTTTCCTTGTCCATTTGTTCATCCCTTATTTAAATATTGGAATGTACATGTATAGATTGAATTCCAAATTGTCATTTTGTGTAACAGACAAGAGATGTTGTCAGTATCCCTTGCCTGTTGTGGAATAGATTAATGAACTATGATGTAAATCCAAGCCACCTAAATTTTATATTTTGAAGGCCATTTTACAGTTACCAAGTTTCAAGAGTTTGTGATCATTTTCGAGGGGCTTATTTTCAAGCTTTTTCCCATCCAAGGTGGCACAGTTGAGCAAGTTCCGAGAAGGAGGTGGGCTGGGTATAAGCCTGGAGGGGACAGTAGATATCGATGAAGCTGGGGAGGAGGTTAGACCCCACCATTACATCCGCTCCATCTTACCTGATGGGCCTGTGGGACAGAATGGCCGGCTTCAGAGTGGTGATGAACTTTTGGAGGTAAATAGGGCCCGACCCCATACCATATCAACACAGTGATACCTAAGTAGATCCTTTGGATCAGGTAAGTTGTCCAATAATACAAAGGAGCACTCGTCCTCTGTGATGGTACATGGCAATAGGATGACAGGTTTATTATGATGATGCCACATGCACTTGCTGCAATGATTTTTCTTATGAGTTCACTCAATCAGTCTACTGGCAAGAAAGAATCGTTATGAGAACAAAGCAACCAGTGAAGTACCAGATGCTTAGAGGTCAGTTTTGTGAGGTCAGGTTTGCGAGGTCAAGTCTTCGAGGGTCTGGTCTGTGAGGTCAGGTTTATGAGGTCATATCTGTGAGGTCAGGTTTGTAAGGTCAGGTCTTCAAGGGTCTGACCTGAAAGGTCAGGTGATCATCAGCTGAACTGGAGAAGTGTTTCTCTGAACTGCACCTATCCATTTTTCATATATTACAAAAGTAAGCAAGATCATCAAAATTTATTATTTAACAGACAAACGAACAAACTACATGTACCATGAATTAATTAAATTAAATGCAGTGCCCAACATGTATATTTTTTAACACCGTATACTCAGTGTATGCCCCCGAAGGTTTGTCAAAAAAACCCACAGGCATACGCGGGTGGGACTCAAACCCACGACCTCTTGCTTACTAGTGCAGACGTCTTAATCACTCGACCACTGAGCATGCCAGTGTCTGCTGGCTGGTTTTCCCTCCGATGTGCCAATGAACTCTTTTAAAATGTCTTTTAAAATGAAATTTTTTAAGTGTGCCACGTTAGGGAAAAATCAGCTGAATTCAAGCCTCGTTTTGGGACACTGACGGTTTTTTATTTCAAACAAATTTCATGACACTGAAATTGTTCACAAAGATTCAACACCATTTATCACGAAGGTACATGTACATGGAACAGTACCAGTTTATAACCAAATAAGTTTTAAGTTTTTCAATAAAAAGGTTTGGCAAAGCAGTGTGAGGAAAATCAAGTTAACATCAAAGTGTGCCACGTTAGGGGACTCTACTATGCAGTAACATTGTTGGCTCTGGCCTTGTAGAGCACAAAGTTGGAAACCTATTTATTTGTTCTTTTTCCCGCATCTGACTCTATTCCTTAGGTGAATGGAGACAAGTTGCTGGGTCTCAACCATGTGGACGTAGTCAAGACTCTCAAAGAACTCCCCATGCATGTGCGGATTGTCTGCGCACGTCATCCACACCCCGTTTTTCCTGAGTCACAAGTAGGTGAAGTACCCCAGTTAGCCTCAGTTCCACCGCAGGATGGTCCAAGTGTCGTAGAAGAAGTGGTAGGAGCCAGTGAGGTCAGTCTCCGGGAATCTGTGCCATTCCCCGAGGTGGCAGTGCCTGGTGTGGGTGGAGGCAGTGGTGACACTGCAATATCTCCACTGCCCAGGGAGTCTGTGAGCGGTCTGGCTGTGTGGGATGACCAGCTACAGACTGTGGAGCTGGTCAAGGGAGATCGGGGACTAGGCTTCAGCATTCTGGACTATCAGGTGAGGGAGGTGTCTTGTGATTGAATCCTGCAGTGGTTTCATGTGATTTAGCCGTGAGATAAAGGCCCCTTAACTTGGCACTGCAGATGTTAATTGTTGGTTTTTGCCGTGTTATTCTCGAAGCTTTCAAAATTGTAAAGATTAGTATGTCCTGATTTAAACTAATGACAAGAAGCTGCTGACTTTTCTCTTATGAGCTGGGAAAAAGTGAAGCCAAACTTCTCCTAAGTCAATATGGCCCATCAAGCCCATGTTTACCTGGGGTTTTCAGGTAGCGCATATCAACTGTAGATAAATAATTTTCTAGTCCACTACAGGAAGCCCCCCCTTTAATTCCAGCACCCATTTATTGTCCTGGAGGGAGCCTTTTCCCTGGGACAAAATTACACATTGCCTGTTTTTCATTTAAACAGTCACCCCTAAAAGGATATTTCCAGTTTAATTTCTTTTTCATCATAGAAACCTTAGAATTATAACTTCCCTCATTCCCAGTACTTTTGAACTGAGATATTAAAGTTTTTTGGCAAAGATATATGGCTGTCAGGAATCTCAGCTAACGTGGTACACTCACATGGAACAATACCTGACTGATTTAATTTGCCGAAATACAAAATGTACTTCAGATAGCACAGTGTGGCCTGCTTATCAGTGCCTTGAAGAGACACACTGCATGAGCACTCTGGTTTGTGCATGACAATGGTGTGGAATATGCCAATTTTCAGTTGAATATGCACAAAACCTCTTAATACCAGTTTCATATGAGATAGTTACATTTGGAAACAGTGCAACATATCCAATTAGTTTTTGCATTTATACAGTGGAAGATGTAGTATTGCTCACCATGCACACAATGATGTGTCTTACCACTGTTAAAGTGAACCCATGTATCCACTTCACCAGTTGATTTTACTGTCATACCATGTATTATTTAGAATTTTATTTAACTTTTAAGGGTAAATTTGAGTATGAACTGGGGTTTTCTGGAGTGTGACCAATTTATTTTAATACAGATAGTTTTGCTAGCCTAGAGGACAATTTGGAGCTGGATCTTGGCGTGCAAAAATTGCATCACTTGTAGTCATTAAGCAAATTTCACAGTTACCAACAACTCTACATGTAGGAAACAATTGCTATAAGAATAAGTGTGGAAAAGAGGGACAACCACCAAAGTGGTAAAAAATGTGTCCAGTAAAATTTACGAGTGAGGATTTCATTGTAGAAATAATAGTTCAGTGATTGTAACGTGCCTGCACATTGGTAAGAAGAGATGGACTCATGGGTAGACATTATTTCATGCATGAACTTGCCGAGTGGTTCTAGTGGTACATGTATGTATTGGTTCTGGCATCAGGATCCCCTAAACCCTTCCAAGACAGTGATAGTAATCCGCAGCCTGGTGGCTGGGGGTGTAGCAGAACAAGATGGCCGACTGATCCCAGGGGACAGACTAGTCTTTGTCAATGATACCAACCTGGACAACTGTTCATTGGAGATGGCTGTGCAGGCCCTCAAGGGAGCACCACAGGGCCCTGTCAGACTTCAAGTGGCCAAGCCCTTGCCCCAACCGGTTGGTGATACAGCACTTGATGGAGAAGAGGTCTGTTATTTTCTCAAATGTTTTATTTCCTTAAATCTGCTAAGCATAGTTTATTGCCAAGCAGGTTCCAGTGCTACTGTAACTGTCCTACTTGTTATCTTTTTTGAAAGCCTTGTAGCCCTTAAACGGTGTCTTACTCTGTGTTAATGCTAATGAAAACACAGATTTGCAGTCTTGACAAAGTTTCATGTTCCAAATTCACTAAAAATTTACGTATTTCAACTTCAGGAAATTTTGATCCAAATGTTTCAAGATGTCAAAGTATGAATCAGCCTTTCATTGCTCTTCAACTAGAGAGCTACATTGTACGTGTATAAAGCATGTAACGCCTGTGGGTGTGTGCGTGCTTTTTAAAACCTCACTGCACAGTGTGTTGCTTTCTGGACATCTCAAAATGCACAGTATTTTTACACTGCACACACTTGTATGAAGGATAGCTGCATGCAATTGTAGTAGTGCTAATATCTTTGCACACAGAGAATCTGACTGAAACGTAAAGGAAGGACTTGAATCCATAATAAAAAACTTGTTAAAAGCATTCCTCAGGGAAAGCACTTAATCAGATTCATATTCAAACCCACACAGTCAACCTCTCCACACAATCAGCAGAATGATTCTAGAGCCACAGTCCAACTGCACAGTATAATGCCGATCCCAATGTCAAAAGAATCAATTATGATATCCCAATGTGAATTTGAATGTTTTTGATGTACATTATTTTGGTGGTAAATGTGCAAATATTCTGTTAAACATATTACATTTCAAGTTCGGCATCATGGCAAAATTGCTGAATATCATTGTCAAGCAGAAAATATGCATGATTTTAGGGAGTCGTCGCATCAAACATTTGAGAAGAAATACTCTGCAATATGAAAAATTGTCAAGAATATATTGTCTGTCTAGGATCTTGTCAATATTTGAAATGCATTTACAGGGGAACTTGCCCTGTTGACTTTAACTTTGAAGTCATAAAGAAGTCATAAAAGTTTAATAAAAAGCACTGGCGTCAAAATTTACTTTTGTGTTTTCGCTCAATGTGTGAAAAGTCACAATAAAGCACCCACATGTACCTGTTCTTTAAATTTGGAATTGCATGTTTCAGCTTACTTACATCAGTTTGTATGAAGTCAGGTCCATTAATTGTCATAGTAGCAATTCATGCCATTCTCTATTGGGCAACTTATGGGTATGCTGAAGCAGAGTACTTGCCATAAATGTTTTGGGTCAGATGTACAGGTAGTTGCTTGTGTGTGGCCAGTATCACACAGGTTGCTGTCATGCATTGAGACTGGTAGTTCTTGTTACTCCTAGCCTGTTATAATGGCACAGCAGATGTCTTCAGTTCATCAAGCCCCACCCTCAGGCTTCCAGGGCATCTCTGCCCACACAGATGAGCTGCTACAACTTCAAGAAATGCAGAATGCTCTTGAGGAGTCTCATAAATCACCCTCTCCTGAGACAGTGCCAAGTGGGCCAATTGTGGAAGGTACAGTACATGTATAGCCACGTCTAAAAATGAACACCGTTTTCTACAGCTATGGCAGTCAAAAACTGAAACAACATCCATAACTTACCCAGTTTGGTAATGGCTTAAATTTTGTGTTGCATATAAATAATCACCAGTTGTTCTTGTTCAAGCATGGTGCTTATTTGATGGGTTAGAAATGCCTCTGATTTAGGATCACCTTTTTTAAGGCCTTTTTTTCCAAATGTTGATATTTTATCTGTGGGAATAAACTGTCACATTATTTTAATGAAGCATAAGAACCTCATTCTAGGCTTCTCATTTCCAAGCCAAAGTGGCCAAATCAAAGATACTTTTTTAATAGTTCCCTTTTAGATCTTTCAAACATAGAATTTGTTTTGAAGCCTCTGAGATCTGTCTTAATCTATCTGATGTTTTGGGGGATTTTGAAGGATCAATGAAGATACTATAGAGCCAGTCAAGCATGGTGCTCTTTGAAAGTCAAAATACAAAGAATTTGCCATTAGTTTGCTGTGCAGTGGAGGCCATTGTGCAAGACTTGTAGAGGAAGAGTCCAAACTGTTAAGGGAAGTTTGTAATGCAGGAAGATTTTCAAAGAATAGCTAGACTTAACTAAATGAGGACAGCAGTATGCATGAGTAGCCTTCAGTGTGTATTTCTTGGATTTCAGAGGTGGTTGTCAGTGCAAGTGTTGCAACTGATGTCGAGGCCAGCATGGATCTCAACCAGATACTGAATGACCAACCTGAGACTGCACCCACAACTACCAACACCTCACCCCCTGATCTTGTACTGGCCTCGTCAGCTACAGTACCTGCATCAGAGCCAGTAGAGACTGTCACTTCTACACAGGTAAACAGACAAATAGAG